TTTTAGTTCTAGTCTTATTCCCTATATTGGTGCTATTGATCTATCTCATGACTATGAAACAATTTCCTGCATTGCTTCTAGTTCACCAACCTTTGTGAATCTTCTATGGCTGTTTACCTATACTTTTTTTCCTTAAGATTTTATTTGTTTGACAGAGAGAGAGAGAGAGCACAAGCAGGGGGAGTGACAGGCAGAGGGAAAGGGAGAAGCAGGCTCCCCGCTGAGCAGGGAGCCCAATGCGGGGCTCGATTCCAGGACCCTGGGATCATAACCTGAGCTGAAGGCAGACGTTTAACCAACTGAGTCACCCAGGTGCCCCTACCTGTAATTTTGTAGTGTATTTGCTTAAATCATTCTCTTGTTACTCCTAAAATGTTGGCACTTGCAAGGCCTGGCCTTTAATTCCTACCTCTTCTGCTTTTTCAGGATGATTGATTCCATTCTCCAAATACTCCTACAACTTTCGAAATATACCATTTTGGGGTGAACATTATTATGTGTGGGAACTGTGTTTATCTTTTAATATATTTTACCTCATTTAATTCTTAGAACAATCTTAAAATTTGTATTCTTGTTTGGCATGAGGATCAAAAAAGTTGTGTATCTTTTCAAATCAAAGGTTGGAACTAGATCACAGATCTGACTGCAAGACCATTGTTTTAAACTTAACAAATGCTGCCCAATATACTGTCAATCCCAATGTCTGACTTGAACCTGAGACCAGGTTTTTATGTCTTTGGAGCATTTGAGAGGCATCTATAAAATTTACTTATTTATAGATGTCTCTGTCCTTCCTTTTTCTTACTGAATAAAAATCTTAGGAAAGCTGAATGCTGTCTCTATGTACTTCTACTCTTTCTTTCATCAGAGTACTCTTTGTTCAGGTCCATGAAATCATCCTCATTAACAGGTCTAATGATTAATTTTCTGTTCCATAACTGCTTAATACAATGATTCTGATCCATCCCCCTCCTTGTTGCCTATTCCCATTGGCTTCCAGGCCACAATACTCTTGTGATTGTCCTTTCCCCTTCTACACCTTCTCAGTCTGTTTTTGCCTGCCTCTGCTATGCCTGACTCTCCAGAGTTGGCATCCTTAAGGCCCTGCCTTTAATTATCTTCCCTTGTGTACTTCCAGGGTTATCAGCTCCAAACTTCTGACTTCAATTCCTACCTTTATTCATGGTTCAATAACCTATGTAATAATAATAGTGTATAACATTTATGGAGCAATTACTACTATATGCCAGGCACTTTGCTCACTGATATATCTGCTTTGTCTCATTTAGTCCACACCAAGTATTCATTTGATTATTACTATCCTCATTTTCAAATGAGGAAGTTTATGCTCATAAAGTCTCCAAATCTTGTCCAGACTCACAGAATTAGTAATGGCAGAGCTTTGACTGAACCCATTGTCTATTTGACTCTAAAGCTGATGTTATAATGACTGTGTTTTATTGTCTTTTAAATCTCTCCTAAGTTTGAGATTTGGTACATTCATCCAACTGCATAACAGATGTAGCTCAGGCATTTCTATCTTAATAGATATTATGCTAAACTCAATATTTGGTGCCCCTCCTTCCAACCCCTTCCCTACTCTCCAAATGTCTCTATTTTAATATCTCCTCCTCTGATAGTCTTTATTTCTTATCATGGTTTCTCCTTCTGCCCATTCCCCAAGACTGCAATGTTTTGGACTTGCGCTATCCCTCATGTCCATGTCCCTCATCCTCCTCTGCAGGGTACTGCAGAGGTGCCTCTGCACCCCCAGTCCTGCTGACCTTCTCCCCTGCTGCTGGGTTCCCACTGGGGTTGGTTCTTTTCACAGCCAGCAAGGTTAGCCTTGGAAGCAGTCAATCTGATCATTCCATTCCACTTAAAAACCTCTCATAGCCCTTGTCTCCTCCACTGTCCTTTCCATTTTCCTTCCATACTCTCGCTCTGTAGTTGGCCTTGCCTATCAGAGATATCATGAACCTATGTGAAGAATTATATTTTAAGATAAACATAGATGCTGTTATGTTGAAGAAAACAAAATGGGTTTCAGAACCTTTACTACATTTAAGTGGCTGATCACTTATTGTTCTCAATGGGAAACTAAATGTACAACTATTGTCATGTGAGACTGCTCCGTTTTTTGACATGAAAAATGGCATTCTTCTTCCTAACTGCATGCCAATTAGGTTATTTTCATGTAAAAGTTCTTGTTTTAATTAATATTCCTAGCCAGAGCTGTTCTCTGGCTGTGGATCTTGCACCTAGGGGACATTAATTTTACACAATAAACTTGAGTAATGTATGAGTGACAGAGTGGAGATGCATACATGGGGATGGGAGATGGGGATACAGACAGCAGGGTCTTTTTGAAACAGTAATGGGATGAATTCTGTGTTCTTAATAGCTCAATTAAAATAATAAAAAAAAGTGTCCAGTCCTTTGTTAGCTTCCAATAAAAAAATGCAAGTGAAGCCTGGAAAAAAGATTATACTTAATAATATACTATATTTTTAATGTTGTACAACCTGGACTTTTTGTGTCCTGAAATAAAAATGACTATCCTCTTGTAGAGATCAGTCTCCCAGATAGGAGGCCATGTGGGGTGGCAGAGAATGGAATCGGGGTTTAGATCCATTTGGGATGTATTCCTGGATAACTGTGTGATCATGAGCAAGTCCCATCTTATCTCTGATTCTCAATTATGTTTAAAGGGGGGAGAGATCCTATTTGCAATGTGAATGTGAGGGTTCTTGGGAGTAAAGATCAATAAAGGTTAATTTCTCCTACAGTAGAATGCCCTAAATAGCTCACATCCATTTAGTTTTAACAATTAGAGCTCTAAGACTAGAAGGGACTAGGAAGTTTATGTAGTTCAGCCCCATTTTTTTTTTTTTTACAATAGTGGAAACCCAAGAAGATGATGTGAATTGCCAAGAGACAAATCATAAACTATTTCTGTATCTGGGAGTAGACATCAATATTCTAGTCTCCTAACCTTGCATTAATGGGTCTACCAAGAGCTCACAGCTTGGTACCAGACTCCTGCCTCAGCTCAGTTACATGAGGCTTGGACATCAGCTCTAAGAGAAGTAGGAGACACTTCTACTAAATGAAGTGTAAGAACGTACAATGTAAGAATGTGATGTAGTTTTCCTAACGCACCACAAGGAAAGCTTCATCAAATCTGTTACAGTGAAAAGAGACCATTCTAGTCTTCTCATTTATTCCACCCCAACTTACCATTTCTTAATTCAATAAATATTTATGCAGTAGCAAGTCTGCCAGGTAGTATCTGAGTTGATCTGAAAAGTCAGAGTTTACAATTAACGGATGAGGGAAAAATAAAATGTGGAAGAGGGTAGTCAAACAAGTAAGTGTTTTTATCCTGAAAAGAAATGCAAACAAATACAGAAGCACCTTCTCTTACATAATAGCAAACTGGGCAACCTCTTAATAGCAAGGATGAGGTTCCTTTTCTCCAATCTGAGAAATAAAGAAGCCAGGCAGTTGTTTTTTTGTGTTTTGTTGTTGCTTTTAAATTTAGAGTCCCTTTTTTCTTACTGTCTGGCTCACAGATGTAGCTTTAATATTTTTCTCCCTTTACCATCCCTTCCCATCATCCACTCCCTTCATCTCAGCCTCTTGTCCAAGGTAGAATCTTCCTGGTAGCAGCAGATGCTTTCAGAAAGGTAACATCCAGTCTGCATTCACATGCCAGACATGCAGGCATGGAGGGGGCCAGGGAATGACTTGGGAGAGGTGGAGGGAAGGTTGAAGACAGCTGAGCACTGCCTGCAGCACCCTTGGTGCACCTCTGTACCCCTCTCTCCTCCAGATCTCACAGCACTCTGATGAACTGAAGAAACTCAGAAAGTTCACATGCCCCCTGCCGACCTCCCATCAGGACACAATGGGATGCTAGACTGTGCTTTGGGACCTTTTTGAATGGAACTGAATGAAGAGAGTCCAGGAGGTACCATGGGGATTATTTTTCCTCCCCTCATGGCTCCTAAGCTTGCCCTACCTTTTGCTTGCTCCAAGACCTCAAGCAGATATTTCTTCCTAAAAGTGAAATGAATGAAGATCCACAGGAAAGTGTGATTTACATGGGTAAATGCATTCTTCAAACTTTATTGTAACCACAATAATACAAATTATAAAAAGAAAAGAATGTCCCCGAGTCACACCATGTTAGCCAGATAATTGTCTTTTTGTAAAAAGTGCAATTTCTACTCTATTCATCTCCTTTGCCTAATTTGAGATATTTTAAGTTATTAATCAATGGTTCTTAACCCTGGCTCATCTGAATTACTAAGGGATTTTATAAAAGGTGTTGATAACCATGCTCCACCTTGACCTACAGAATCGGAATCTCTATTTGTAAAAATGATCCTCAGGTCAACATTCTGATTTTGAAGACAACAGAAGTTTCTGCATCTTTTAAAAAAATTAATTTTGTTAAAGTAAAATTCACATAACATAAAATTCACCATTTAAAGTGTACAATTCAGTGCCATTTAGTACATTCACAATGTTGTGCGACTCATGTATTTTTGCAAAGCATTTTGAATGACATCTGCTGATATATAAAACTAGAAAGTTACATTTCTAATAGATACAATTAAAGGCTAAGAAAGTTTTTTTTTTTTTTTTTAAGAAAGTCAGAGACCGAGAGCTTGTGCATGAGTGGGGAGAGGGAGAGAGAGAGAATCCCAAGCAGGCTCCCCCCTGAGTGTGGAGCCTGACATGGGGCTTGATCTCATGACCCTGAGATCATGACCTGAGCCAAAATCAAGAGGCACTTAACTGACAACACCACCCAGGTGCCCCAGTTATTTTTTTCAAACTATGTTTCAAACTAGTTTTTTCAAACTTCTCTTATGATTTTGGTTATTTCCACCCCTAGTCTAGTGATGTAGAATTGTACAGACATCTGGGGATAGCTTAAGTGTCCTACTGTTCATCTCTCTAGGTCTAGAAGAGTGGTCAAGGCTGCCAGCCTTCTGCAAAACTTCTTTCTGCAATATACAATACGAATATCAAGGTAAGTCCAATAACAACAATAGCTGATGTGTTTTGAACTTTTATTGTTTCAACTTTTCTGCCAGTTCTCTAACCCTCTCAGCATTTCTAAACCTCACAACAAAACTGCAAAGGTCACACCTTTTTTCTGTTTGGCAGTTGAAAGAATGAAGGGTCAGAGGGGATTTGCTCAAGGTCATGTAGTTTGAAGGTGATGTCGCTGGGATTCTGTATTTGATCTGTATGATTACATTACGCTGATTGTCTCTCCCAAAGCATAGCATGAGAGCTTGTGAAAGCAACATTAGGTGAAGAAGCTGGTTCAAAAATTAATTAAAAGCCAAGGGTTCTGAGATTTGAAACTAAGGTCTATAACCAGTGAAGCCAAATGGAGGAAGAAGAAACGGGGTAGAAGGCTAGCCAGAAGGTAGGGGCTGTGCTTAAATTTTTGCTTGTTCACCTCGTAGACTCCTCTCTTTGACAGGAAGGTTTTGCTGGAAGCAAGCTTTAATATGTACCTGTGTGCTCAATGGGAAGAGGCCAAATCAGGCTTTCATCATCACTAGGTGACAGGCATCAAGAGTAAGGTCAAGCTAAAGAGACTTACCCAATGTGTTAGGAGGCCAGTGGTAGCAGTTCCAGTGGGAAAGTCTTTAAAGCATTCCTTCAGGCACTAGTTAGTTTCTGGATGCTCCAAAGCCATCTGGCTCCCAATCATTCCATCAGCAAGTATTTATTGTATGCCTTCTATGTGCCAGGTGTTGTGCTCAGCTCTGGACGGTGATCAAAAGCAGTGGAGAGCTGCGAAAAGGTAGAGGGAGAAATGATAATTTTTAGGGAAATGGCTACTCTGTGGGAGGAAAAGAGCAATTTGCTATATGCCACTTCTGTGGAGACTGAGCAGGTGGAAGAACCTTGATGTCTGTAGGGGGTGCATCAGAAAGGCACCTGCTGATTCACCTTGTCTGCATGTGTCTGGGCACTGCACAGGAGGATAATTGCATTGACAGTTTTGAATGGTGTTTGCCAAGTTGGAGCATGTGTTAGAATGGAAGGTTGGAGGCTAATTGGTTGAATCGTCCATGAAGATGGAGAGTCTCTTTCATGATCAGGTACTTTGCTCCAAACTTGGGTAGTTGTGGGTGAGTGGAGGTGCAGGGATACACCTTAGTTTGAATATGGTAGGCAGCACATCTGAGAGGCCGTGATAATTACAGAGGAATTTAGGATTGAGAATGGTGTTGCTGCCTGGGCTTCTTCTTGTCTTGGAGATAGACATCAAGGGTAGGGTCGAGTTAAAGAGATTCACCAAGTGTATTAATTTCCTAGGGCTAATAAGATACATTACTACAAACTGGATGCCTTAAAATAGCAGAAATTTGTTCTCTCATAGTTCTGGAGGCCAGAAATCTGACATCAGGGTGTTGGCAGGACCGAACTCCCTCCAAGTCTCTAGGGGAGACTCCTTCCTTGCCTCTTCCATCTTCTGGTGGCTTTGGGTGTTCCTTGGTTTGTAGCTGTATAACTGCCATCTCAGCCTCTGTTTTCGCATGGCCTTATCCTGTTGCTCCCTGCGAGTCTTTTATAAGAACGCTTGTCATTGGATTTAAGGCTCACCTGGATGATCCAGGATGATCTTGTGTTGAGATCTTTAACTTATATCTGCAAAGACCCTTTTCCCAAATAAGGTTACATTCATAGGTTCTGGGATTTAGGCAGACATTTTGGGTGCTGCCATTCAACCCACTACACCAAGTCCTTTGCATACTATGTTCAGAAATACCAATGGACAGAGATTACTTCAACGGTAAGCCTGTATCTGAGGCTATTATTTGCTCGCACTGGTTATCCCCTCCCAGCCTTTCTTACCTCTGTGTTTCCACCAAATATCGTGGATTATGGCCAGATGCCCGGGGAAGATGCATTTTTCTGTCTGTGCTGGGGCCTGATGGCTGAGATATGCTCAGTCTGAAGCATTTCCTGAGGGTAGGGGTCTGGGCTTGGAGTCCAACTTCCAAGCCACAGTGTTTGCCTGGATACTTAGCAGTAGGTGAAAATAAGTCACTTAGAAAAGGTGGCCCAAAATGTCCTCAGTAAACAGCATCTACAGTTGTAATTTCTAAATCTGCTACAATTGGTCTGGATAGCCTCAGTGTGGCTTTTATCAGGTGTTAGTTTCTTATTAGTCCTGTTTCCAGGCCATAAAAGCAGCTTCGATTGCTAATAATTGTTGTTTTCAGCATTCTGGGCTACAGATGCTGTAGTGAATGCCATTTGTACCTGCATCCTTCTGGGAAACACTGGTCTCCACTATGGTGTTAAAGATCTTGCTTTGAAGTATTAGGTTGGGTCCTTTTATGGTGGCCAAAATTGGAGGAAGAGTGTAATGAGCCTTCAGCTGTTGCAAAGCTATGCTCATGGCTGGAATCCAGCAAACTCTTTCCCATTTGGTGGTCATTATTTAGAATAGTAATGGCTGAATGTGGTGGGAGAATTGAGCATATCTGAGAAGTCCTCAGGGACTACTGGATGACTCTCTTCTGGGGAACTTCAACTAAGAAATGTGAACTCTGGTTCAGCTTCATCCTGGAGACATGCTCAGAATATTTTACTAAATGGGGAAACCAAATATAAGACAAAGGTGATAGAGTGATATGATAACTCTGTTGCAACAACAGGGCTGTAGTATGATGTTCTTCCTTCTTTGCTCTGTTTTTCTCCATAGTACTTATTTACCCTTACCTATGTATTGCACTTAGGTATCTTGTTGATTTTTCCTGTTCCTCTGTACCATGAATGTAAGCTCCATGTTCCCAAATACAGTAGGTGCTCCATATACATTGTTAGTTTAATGAAGAAATTCAACTATGATTTTGTGCCCTGATGACCTAAATATGCATAACTTCCACAAGAAGGAAAAGGGGTAAATCTGGTTTCTAGCCACAAGGCCAACTTTCAGCAGCTAAAAAACCCTATATACCTCTGTCTGTTTAAGAACAAGGACCCCAGTGGCCTGGGGTGCAATGCAGTAGGAGAGGCATTGGGAGAAGGGTGGATGTTTTTATCAAGCTGCAAGACTTGCTGTTTGACTCTGTTTGGGAGGGGGCCTTTTATTCCAGGGCTGCTAATACCTAATCTAATAAATAAACATCTTGACCAGACAGGACTTAGTCTGGTAAGGCACAGGGGAATTCTGTTTGGGCAGGACCTTTGTTTCCTTAATGCCTATTGTGTTCAGGAAACTGGGATAGGTAATCTTGCATTCACTATTTTATTTTACACTTTAAAATTATACATTCCTTTTCCATAAAAATATCCAGTTTATCTATTTTTTCTATTCCTATACTTCCCTAGCCTACAAACCAAGCCTGTAATCCTTTAGCCCCTGTTAGTCTTTTGATATATTAACTAACTTCTGACTTTACTACTTTCCCTTCCAACTTAAAACATTCAAGCTTTGCTTGTCAGGTTAGACTGAATTATGCTGCAGTTACAAATGACCCCCAAATTTCAGACACTTGTAACCAGAAAACTACATGTGGATCACAGGTAGGCTGTGGTCCCTCTCCACCCTTCGTTCTGGGTTGGTGGAGTTGCCTGCCTCTGGAACACTGCCAGGTTCCTGGCAGAGGGAGGGAGAGGATGTGGTGAACCATAACAGTGGCTCCTAAGTTTCTGTCACTTCTCACATTTCATTGGCAATAGCCAGTCACATGGCTAAACCTTATGTCAATGGGCTAGAAATGATATAACCCTCCCCCACAGAGGGGCACTGAATATTTGTGAACAGTAACAGCGTTTACCGAAAGGACTGTCCCCACCAACGCACATAGGGTGCACATTCCCATGCCTGCTTATCTGTGTTCTACACATGTGCTGCTCAACCCAGATCCTGGATCCATTCCCCTCCATGCCTTGACCCCAAATCTTGGATTGCCCTATGTGATTGTGGTTGGAGAATATGCCCTCCCTTATTGCCCCAGTCACATTCATGTTTATGGTGTCCTCCCATGCTGGACCTCCATGTTGCCCAACCATTTTTTTTTTCCCTCTCATCAACTTTTGTTGACATTTGGCTGTTATTTCAAAGTTCACCGTCACCACATCCCAAACCTTTTAGTACCATAGACAACATGCCTTCCTTCTATTTCTTAGAGAAAACAGAGGCCTGTAAGTACAAATTCTTCTAAAAATTATAATCCCCCCCATTTCTTTTCTTTTCCATAGTGCTTATTTTTCATCATTGATATACTTAATTTGTCTTGTTTATTTTCTCTCTACTTCTCTTTCCTTTTTCTTTAGGCTTACCTATAACACACCACCATTCTTTCTCCCTCTCCTGTCCTAAAAGTAAGAATAATCTTTTTTCTTTAAATGCATGCATTCTGCCCATTTCGTGTGGCTGCCCTGCTCCATTTACTTTTGCTCTCTTAAAATGGAATCTTTTTCTCTTCATTGGCTTTTTCCACTTGTTCTATGTACCATTGACTTTTAAACAACCTGGGCCCTAGGTGCTCCACTGACTGCCCCACACAGTGGAAAATCTGGTATAACTTTTGACTCCCCCAAAACTTACCTACTAATAGATTACTGTTGACTTTCCCAATAGCACAAATAGCCAATTAACGCATATTTTGTATGTTGTATGTGTCATATAATGTATTCTCACAATAAAGTAGCTCGAGAAAATAAAATGTTAAGGAAACCATAAGGAAGAGAAAATACATTTACAGTACTGTATTATAAAAAAAATCTGTGTATAAGTGGGTCCACATAGTTCAAACCAGTGTTGTTCAAGGGCCAACTGTACTTCCTCTAGCTGATTTTAGGGACACACTGAGACCTTTCATGTCTTACTGCCATTTCTTGGAAGGGTTCTCTCTACCTGGTTGGCTTGCTGAGCAACTTCTGGGGCAGGCATGGAAGTTCTCAAGTCATCACGCTGGGTTTGAGGCCATTGGCTCAGCCATTTGATAACTGTTTGGTGTTGGGTATGTTAATTTATATTCTCGAGCCACTTCTTTAACTGTCAAAAGAAGAATAATTATTCTCCATGGTTTGTGTACAGAATAGAAAAACACTTATGTGAAATACATTGCAGCTAGGAGGTATCCAATAAATGACTGTTAATATTATTATCTTAAATATCAGTCTCTTCTCACATGTCATCTGCTGTGCAAGGTCAACTCTGAATAGTATTTTCTATGTTCAATACACTCTACTCTTCTTTAAATCAGTTATTCTGATTCTAAATTAGTGGAACTTCCCAGTAAGTTTTTTTTAATCTTTCAGAGGAGAGACTCTCATTTTTTTCAGCTTTACCAGTGTTTTCTTCTTCCTTTTTATATACCAGTCTTCTTGTATTGGGGACTATATAAATGTTTTGTTGAAAGAGTAGATAGTTCCCAGTTTTATAAAATCTGTGGTTCTACAAAACACATATGCACACAACCCATGTTAATATTCCCTTTTTTGTTGTCCTGAGGCTAAGTAACATATCTTAGAGTGACAAATAAAATAGTATCATGATAGATGAGTTTTTCTGGAATTTGGAATTTTCAGAATTTTCCATATTACTGTTTAACCTACAGATTTAAATGTAGGTATCAGGGGGATCCTATGAAATTAGAAGGAAAGTAGAGGATATAGAAGTAAAGATCAGAAGTCCTATTTCAAATTGCATTTCAACACCTGATTTAAAAAAAATGATAAAAAATAGGTCAAACAGCAGAGAAATAGAATCATAGGCTGCTAAGAAGGCCCGTGGCTAACATTTATGGGACAGGGCAAGAGATCAAATGGAGGCTCCAGCTACATTTTTGTCTCCCTCTGACTCCATCCTGTACCTTGAGAGCTCACCCATGGTGTCATCCTAAATTCCTCCCTAAGTGGGCAAGATCATGTCCAGTGGAAAACTCAATGGCTCTGGTTACTGGGATCTAAAGGAGGAACTATTGCTGATAACTCATCTGGTGTTTAGGGAAGTGCTCGCCACATGGCCTGCTCCAGAAGCATTTTCTATTTTGGAGGGTGAGATGGGATGGGCTGGTAAACTAGTTGAACCTCTAATTCAGTGTTACCTAATGTGTGCATCATGGGCTCCTGGGTAGCTTTGGAGGTAGGATGGGGGTCGGTAAATCTGAATGGTTTTATAGCATTTTCTAAAGACAATAAACATGTCAAACTCATCAACAAACACTTTTCCAAAGGTATATTAGGTTGAATAAAATGCAACCTTATTTTAAGGTGTTTTAATATCAATGAAGCTTTTTTATTATTATGTACATTTTTTCAATCAATGAATACCAAAGGACAGCTACCATTATGTGCTTGTCTTATTACTATATATTTTTTTAATTCTAGAAAATGGATCAATCTACAAAATACCCAAAAACAAACTCATTGAGAAAAACCAATTTAGTAGTTCTTTAAAAGAATTTTAAAAACTTTAATTAATGCTCTCAGGGCTGAACAAGTGCATTCTTGTGTTGTCGGTTACACTTTTGGGATGGGGAACTAGCCTAAAGGTTTTACTTGACAGAGGAGGGTTTTATTTGATTCCTCAGTGACTCAGTTCAAAAAAAGTTAAATGCTCCCAGGTTCCTTTTAGAGTTAGGTTTCAATACAGGGGTGGATAAGATGTGGGAAAACAGGCCAACATAACTGGGTTCTCATTTGTGTCCAATAATTAAGAGAGGCTATGAATCATTTTCTACTCTAGTTAAATCCACAGCATCCTCCATTACGTCCTAGATCGATGTACTGCGTAGGGTTCTGATAGGAAGCAGATGTCACACTCCAACTGACAGTAATTACAGAAGTGTGGGCAGGATACAGGAAAAGCAAGATGGTTCAGTACCCTAGGGGTAGGCCTAAAGGGGAGAAGGAACAGTCGTTGGAATCTGAGGAGAAGGTGGTTATGGAGGCAGAGGCAGAAGCTGTGGGCTTTAGGAGAGCAATTTTGTAGTGAAGGAGTCAGGGGAAGGACTACCCTGAGACTTCTCCCTTCTGCCCTCTGTGTCTCCCTCCATGAGAAGAGGAGGATAAGGGAGCAGGACACAAAGTGAAGTGGGAAAGGATGGAGCGTCTCTGGATGTACAGGTAGAAGATACTCAGAACAACCAACAACACTAGATAACATACCAAGTATCTGTCTTCCACTACAGACAGGGTGGTAAAGGAAATGTGCTCTGGGTTTTATACAGTTCTTGATGATTTAATCCAGACTGTTTGGCTAAATCCTTCTCTGATTCTTAGTTTTATATTTGTAAAATGTGAATAGAAGACCTCCTTTCCCAGATTGTTCTCAGGTTTCAGACCTATTATGTAGATTAGGATACAGCAAAATCATAATTTGCTCAAGACTTTAGGGCAATAAGGAACCTTAGAACTTAGTCATCTACCATCGTTGCTCTTGCCTGTCAATTACTAAGTGGTTCACTATGTGCTCTGCGTGGAATTTATATTCTTGGCAGTCGTAAACTAGTCGGGAGTGTATCATGGGGGGATAGCGAACCTGTGTACTCTGTGAGCATTGACTGTAGTCTGATCTCAGTGTGGCTTACACATTTTACTATTTATCAGTTTATTTTGGTGCTGATGTGACTAATAAAATACAAATTTACTTAAGAGTGGTATGAAGTCTTGATATCTTGTTGGTTTTGTTTTTGTTTTATTTTGTTTTTAATCATGGTGCTATGTTTTCTCTATCAAAGGAATACTAAAAACATACTATTTTGTGGGGTCAGGTCAAGAGAAACTTTTCCGTGATTCTAAAAGGAATCTTGTACTTAAAATGTTTAGGAACCACTAATATATTTTGACTTTGTGTATCAACTTGGTTTATGTTTTGTCAAGAAATTTTAGGCCTTAGGCATTGGTTTCTGAGACCATCCCATTTATAATTGCACCCAAAATAATAAGATACCTAGGAATAAACTAACCAAAGAGGTGAAACACCTCTTCTCTGAAAACTGTAAAGCACTGATGAAAGAAATCAAAGATGCACACAAAAAAATGGAAAGATATTCCATGCTCAGTATTTGGAAGAACAAATGTTAAAATGTCTATACTACGCAGAGCAATCTACACATTTAATGCAATCCTTATCAAACTACCAATAGCATTTTTCACAGAACTAAAATAACCTTAAAATTTATATGGAACCACAAAAGACCCTGAATATCAAAAACAATTTTGAAAAAGAAAAGCAAAGTTGAAGGCATCATAATTCTGGACTTCAAGTTACATTTCAAGGCTGTAGTAGTCAAAACGGTATGGTACTGGCACAAAAAATAGACACATAGATCAACAGAACAGAATAGAAAGCCCAGAAACAAACCCCTAATTATTTGATCAATTAATCTTCAACAAAGCAAGAAAGAATATTCAATGGGAAAAGTACAGTCTTTTCAACAAATGGTGTTGGGAAAACTGGGCAGCAGCATACAAAAGAAAGAAACTGGACCACTTTCTTACACTATACACAAAAATAAAATCAAAATGGATTAAAGACCTAAATGAGAGATGTGAAACCATAAAAATCCTAGAAGAGAACACCAGCACTAATTTCTTTGACATAGGCCATAGCAACTTCTTTCAAGATAGGTCTCCTGAGGAAAGGGAAGCAAAAGCAAAAATAAACTATTGGGACTGCATCAAAATGAAAAGCTTCTGCACAGTAAAGGAAGCAATCAACCAAAGGCAACCTACAGAATGGGAGAAGATATTTGCAAATGATATATCCATTAAAGGGGTTAGTATCCAAAATATATAAAGAACTTATACAACTCAACACCCAAAAACAAAATAATCCAATTAAAAATGGGCAAAAGACATGAACAGACATTTCTCCAAAGAAGACATCCAGATGGCCAACAGACACATGAAAAGATGTTTGCCACTTACCATCAGGGAAATGCAAATCAAAACTACAGTGAGATACCACCTCACACCTGTCAGAATGGCCAAAATCAACAACACAATAAGCATCAGGTGTTGGCAAGGATATGGAGAAAAAGGAACACTCACGTCTATTGGTGGGAATGCAAACGGGTGCAGCCACTGTGGATAAGAGTATGGAGGTTCATCAAAAAGTTAAAAACAGAACTACCTTATGATCTAGCAGTCACACTACTGAGTATTCACCCAAAGAATACAAGAATTCAAAGGGTTACATACACTCCTATGTTTATAGCAGCATTATTTATAATAGGCAAGATATGGAAGCAACCTTAGTGTCCATAGACTGATGAATGGATAAGAAAGATGTGGTACATATACAATGGAATACTATTCAGCTGTAAAAAAGAATGACATCTTGCTGTTTGCAATGACATGGATGGAGTTAGAGTAGTATGCTAAGTGAGAGGGAAAGACAAATACCATGTGATTTTACTCATATGTGGAATTTAAGAAACAAGGGAAAAAATAAGTTGGAGAGACAAATCAAGAAAGATTCTTAATTACAGAGCATGATTTGATGGTAACAGAGCAGAGGTGGGCAGCAGAATGGGGTAAGTAGATGGTAGGGATTAAGAAGCACAGGGTGATGTATGGAAGTGTTGACTTACTATATTGTACACCTGAAATAACACTGTATGTTAACTAACTGGAATTAAAATAAAAATGTATATTAAAAAAAAAAAAGAAAAAAATTGGTTTCTGAGGACAACTCTTTCCCTGTATTGCATAACAAATTTGAGGGCAGTACTGGTACCAGTTCAACGAAGCCTTTAAAATGGACAGTTTTCCCTTTCAAACTCTCAGTGCAGATAATAAAAAGGAGAAAGGTCTAATTTTAGGGTAATGCTCCAATATAGGAGTGGGGAGGAAATCTGGAAAAGAAAATATATTTAATCTTGAATGTAAATCATTCATATTTAGCAAAAAGAAGAGAGGCTATGTCAGCTCCTTGCTCTTCTGTCAGTGTCTCTGGTATGACCCAGCTCTTCTTGTCAAGCTAGTCCACAGACAGAATATGATCAGAAGAGCATGTCCTGTGGATCCAGGCAAACCCGATTTCACATCCTGGATCTACAAGTATCAGGTGAGTGAATTTGGATAATTCTAACTGGCCTAATGTAGAAATATTCAGATTGCAAAGTTATTTTGAGTTTCAAAAAGACTGATATTGTGGGGATGAAAAAAATTTCCTTCTTGGGTGCTATGGCTCTAAAGAATGCTCATCACTTTAGTGCTTAGAATTTCAGGGCTGGAATGACCCTGGTAATCTCTCATTTCCTTTTAAAGATGGAAACGAGAGAGGTGATAGGACATCCCTATGTTCATAGAAGTAGTTAGTGGTAAAATTCAGACTGGAACTCCATCCTTTCCTGAAAGTGACATTTGTCAATGACAAAATATGATGAAGAATTGAATTGAATTGAATAGAGTTTTGAGAATCTACCCAGTGGTATCCATTGAGCTGATAATGAGACTCAAAAGGTGAAGTCAACACAACCAGGAAGGTGACAATCTAGCTGAAGGAGAATATAACCACATCACAAGTTTAATGATGATCCAACACAAAATACAAATACACTGAGCTGTATATCCAGAGGATGGATAAATTTAATTATGTCTGAGGTAGAAGACATAGTGAAATCTACCTCGTAATTAATAAAAAGATGATATCCTTCCAGCTCTTCCCATCTGCCCCCTTATTTATTAATCGAACAGATACTTCTTTGTAGATCTACATCTAAGTATCAGATGCTCTCTTAGTAGTTATGGAGAAAAGTACAGGTTTCCCTGTTAACTCAAAGTAGTGTTCCTACGAAACATTTCATAGGCCGAAAGCACCAAAAATGAAGAAGCAGTTACCATGAATTTACATGGAGAATTTGAGTTTTCTCAGACCCCAAAAATAACCTCTCTTAGGCCTTTCTGATACCTTAGGACACATTCTGCTAATGAATGCACAAAATCAACAGAGAGCAAGCACAGATGCTCACAGGCACTGTTCAAAGCTATGGCACCTTGATGCTCAGTGTAGTTCTGGGGAAGGAACGCGGAGTGCCCTTCCTGCTGCTCCATCCAAGGTGCCTCTGTAATGGCTGGCTGCAAATTAAATACTGAACGCTATTTTCGTTTCTCGCCTTTCCCCCTAAAAGCAAAAATCCTCTTTGGATTTCTTTCAGGTAGCAAAAACGCGTACTAATGTGGGTCTTCTGTAAAAGCAAAGTGGCATAACATGAACTTTAGAAAAGCAGGGGATACCTGTACTTAAAAACTTGGCAATTAAGGAGATGAGGGAGATCTGCTGCATTTGGTGAGGATTTCCCAAAAAACAAACCAAGTGCAGAAGACCCCCTAATCGGTCAGAACAGCAGCTAAGGTAACCCTAGGTGTCAGTGGGGCACCTGGCTACACCTCTGAGGCTTTCCTTCAGCAGGCGCACTAACACTTCAAGGAGCCGGGAGGGAGCAGTTCCTCCTTGCTCCCCGCTCCTCCTCCGCCCAGCCAAGGTCTGCATTGTGGGCCACGCCCCTGCGCGCTGGTTGGTCCTCACAGACATGATGAAACTTCCCTCGATCATTACAGGAGCTAGGCCGGTATAAAGTCAGAGGAGGCCCGCCGCCCCGCCCGCAGGCTGCAGCCCCTACCTGGCAACTCTCCTCCATTCCATCCACCTAAGCCCCGGTAAGCCAGGCTCTGCTGCCCAGCGCAGCGCCCTCCCAGCGTGCCCCGGGGCCGCCCCCGGGGGGAGGGGGGAGAGAGAGAGAGAGAGAGAGAGAGAGGGAGGGAGGGAGGGAGGAAGAAGGAGGAGGAGGAGGAGGAGGAGGTGGCGCTGCAGTCTCGCCCCACACCGGTGGGCAGAAGCGGCTGCAGGCGGCCAGCCGGCTCTGCGGCTCCTGCCGGTAAAGGGGGCGGGCCGATTGTTGCGCACCTGGGAGCAAGCTGGGAGGAGAGACCTAGGGTCTAGGTCTTCGGTTGGAGGGATCAAGTGAAAGACCGAGGCGAGACTGGGCTGCGGCCCACTTGGCCCTTGTAAATTTTACAATTTTTTATTATATTGCGTGGAAGCCTGTGGAAATTTTCGCAGTCCGGCGGCCCTACGGTGGACCGGCCAGAGGGTGCACGTGGCTGGGGTGCAGTAGGAGTTTCGGGCCGCACAGTTGCTTGGTCCCGATCTCCCGCCTGTCGGTCAAAGCCTAAGGGTCTGTACTTAGCCCCTCACCTCTGGCTCCCCCCACCTTTTGGCTCCCCTCTCCTCCCCCTGCCCCCCTCCCCCCAGACTGCGAGACTCAACAAGTGACTTGATGAACAAACCCCGCCTATAAGAGATCTGTTCAGGGCGACAGGCGAAGCGGTATGGAAAAAAGCAAAAGAACTAACATTTCTTTCTCAGTGGATAACTATTCTGTAGGGCTGGTTTCAGATTAATGTTACTATTTTGAATAAAAGCTCAGTTTTCTGCTGGGCCCTTGGTCTATATTATTTCTTCATGGGCCATTGTCCTGGGTGCCTTGACTAACAATTTAAAAAGCACTCATAACTTTTTTTTCATTGACCGCATTGCTGTAAGATTAATTAAAAGTAACTTAGGCCTTGAACCTGTCCAGGAGTTGGTTGCTGATACCTTAATGTAAAAATAAAACAATATGGTGAAGTTTTTAGTTGGTAAGCAGCCATCGAAATCAAATGCAGGGAAGCAGCACTGTCCAATTCAGTCCACCTGTAACTATTGAGAACTTGAAATGCTGACTAGTCCGAATTAAGGTGTGGTGTGAGTGTAAAACACCAGATGTTGACGATTTAATAGAGAAAGGCAATGTAAAGTATTTTGTCAATAATTTTTTAAACTGATTTGTTGAAATACTTTTTTTGGTACATTGTGTTAAAATATATTTAAAGTTATCTGTCCTTTTTCTCTTTACTTTTTTAATGGGGCTACTAATATTTTTTAAAATTCCACATTTAGCTTACATTTCTGCTGGACAGCACTGTTCTAGAAGTTTATGAGTAAATACAGAAAATTACAGGGAGCAGGTAATAGCAGTAGGAGAAAGCATTGCAAATAGGACCTTTGCAAGTAAGCCTGATTCCAACAAAAAGAGGTAACAGTTTTTAGTTTGCTTTTTCCTGCTGAAGTTAAGTGTGCTTCACTAATGTGTGTTCCCCTTCTTTCCCCTCTATTTTAGTGCTTAGGGTGTGTTCCTTATAGCAGGCCTAATAATGGGATTCACTAATCGGCATTAGGAAGACTTAGGTAAATGATTAACTAATGATCTCTTGTGATTTTCAGAGCACTTTCTTAGCCCATTTTTAACTGGTATAGAGGAACCATACATGGCTTATTAGTAGCAATCTCACTTCAATCTAAGTGTATTTCCCCGCTATATCTCAAATATCTCATTAGAGGCTATTTGGCCAAGTGCATGGAAGGGACTGCATAGGGCATGTGCTACTTCAATTCCAAGTTGTTTGAGTCACTATTATTTTTTGTTAGTTTGATGTGGTCTCATTAAAAGGCTAAACAAAGCTTTGGTTCATTTAGATACAAACTCCCTCAGAGGATTGCCCAAAGTGATTGGTGTAACTTGAATATATATATTTTCTTGATGATTTTTGTCCCAAATTAGGCATTTGCTGCAAATTTGCATTTAAAAATACCCAAATAAGTGTCTGAGTTTGAGCTATTTTGGTAAAATAACTGTTTTGAGCTGGCAGCATCCAAATAAAACAGCTCTTTATTTCACAGTTGAGAATATGAAATTGCAAGGTAACATTCATAGGAATTGTTTGTTTCTTGGCCTATAGGGATGGCCAAATTGTTTTTCAGAGATGTTGTTGCCATTTATGTCCCACCCACTTTGCTTTCTTATGAACCAAGGCAACTTAGAGACAAAAATATTTTAGAACATTTTTGTCATTTAGGACATTTGGATGGTGAACATTATGTATTTCTGTCAATGTAAAATGTTTTTTTATTATACAGCCAAGATATCTGATATCAGATAACATGCCTTTCTTTTTTCTCTTTAGAATTTCTTTCATCACGTTTGAATAAATCACTTAAAGGTACGTGAGAAGTTGTGAAATGCTTATAATAGCTGTGTATCTTAACATAGCACCTGAGCAGTATGTATGATCTTTTTTACCCGCTAGTCTCAATGTGTAGTTACTACAGGTAAAGACAGGACATTTAATTGTCAAAGAGACCTGAGTGGGGACTGTAGTAGTAATATGGGGAGTCTCTTGGATTTTTGAGGGCTTCTGAGGTCCTGAGATGAAGAGAGAGGGACAGGGATCTCTCACTAGGTTGGAGCCAGCCTGCATCTGTTATCTGCCTCTTGGAAGTAAACCTCGAATGTGACCTGACTCCCCCCAGCTCTAGCTGGCCAAATCCCAAGGTGGGAGAGATGCCAGCTTTGACAAGGTGCCAAATTGCTACCGTTGGCTAGATGGAAAGGTCATGCATCTTTTCTGAATACTTGTACGTGAATTAAATCATTCTCAACTCCTGTGTGCCTGCCAACCTAATGGAAAATTGCTGTGGACAAGATAGTTTAAATGTCAGTCTTTGAAGTGGTTTATAGCAGTTTTTGGAATCAAGATTTAATACAGACTTGAATTGGGTATTAAATATTTAACAGGCCTACTCTTTTCTCCATAGAAAACTCATAGCTCCATTGCACCATGTGCGGGATTTGGGCCCTCTTTGGTAGTGATGACTGCCTTTCAGTGCAGTGTCTGAGTGCTATGAAGATTGCACACAGGGGTCCAGATGCATTTCGTTTTGAGAATGTCAATGGATACACCAACTGCTGCTTTGGATTTCATCGGTTGGCAGTGGTTGACCAGCTGTTTGGAATGCAGCCAATTCGAGTAAAGAAATATCCTTATTTGTGGCTCTGTTACAACGGTGAAATCTACAACCACAAGAAGGTAAATAAAACAAAACCAGAAGGTATCTGGATGTGATTGAACCTCAGAGCTAGTTGGTTATAATTTTTATATATTTTGTATAAAGTTTTTTACTTCTCAGACTGTTTCCATGTTCATTATCTCATTTGCTCCAGTTATAAAGATGATGCACTGATGCACAAAGAGGTCAAATGAGCTGGTCACAAAACAAAAAAAAAAGAAAAAACGAGGATTACAATTCTTTAACTCTCAGCATTTTTTTTTCCTATTATGAATTTGAATATTAATTAGAGCCCGTGTTTGGTGCTGGGGATATAGTAGTAAGTATGAGAGGTAGATCTGCGCTCTAATGGAGCTTATTGCATTAAAAATCAAAGACCAAAAAAAATCCTTATACATATGATAAGTATTCTGAAAAAATGGTTGGTACGGGAGATCCAGTGTCGGGAAGTGTGGTCAGAGAAGGCCTCTGGAGGAACTGACACTTGAACCGAGACCTAATGGACTGTGATAACTAGCGGGGCTGGGAAGAACTTTTCATGCAGAGGGAATAGCATGTATAGAAGCCTGAGGCAGGAAGCAGCCCTGGGATTGTCAGATGTGAACAAGGGGTAAGATGGGCAAGGTGGGGCTGGGAGGGTGGGCAGAACCCGATCAAGCAGGACTTAGGAGTTGGTAAGATGGTGTTGGAATATCATTCTAAGAGCCATGAGACTGGAGGATTTTAGGGCAGGTATAGAGTTTAATAGTTTGGAGGTCATCATACTTGTAGCTTTTATATAATGCTGCCCTTACGATATGCACTGCGTCTGCATACTGAACAGAACGACAAGACAGAAGGATGGCCAAGTGCAACGGAGTGTAAGAAGTGATTTTCTAGCAGCATTAAATTTGGAACAGCTTTCTAATCTAGGGAAGGCTTACTCAGGGTGAGAGTGGTGAGACGGTGGAAATTCTGACCCCAGGAAGCCACATTGGCTAAGAGCCTTCCAATCTGGAATTATTTGGCCAGTGTTTCATACATTTTTTTAATCTAAAATTTCCAAGTAATTTTTTGTTTGCCACCTTCCTCCCCAGCTTTTCATTTTGAAAATTTCAAACATACTAAAAAAACACAAAACAATGAGAACCTAGATTGTATAACTGTTAATGTTTTGCCATATTTGCTTTGTTTTTCTCTTTCTGTATATACACCTAGGCATTCAATTTTTTGGTGGAATCATTTCAGTATACTACAGATATTGTGACACTTTACTCCTAAATATATAAGCAGTTATCTCTTAAAAATTAGGGCATTCCTCTACCTAACACCAATACTGTTAAACGATGGCTTTTCCATTGTTGTCTGCTTTTAGGAATACTCTTAATAATAGGCTTCTCATTTGAGAAGTTTTTGTAGATATTCAGCAGATTCCTTTCATGTATTTTTTAAGGGCATATTATACACAGGCATCATTTTTCTAGGTGCTTAGAGATGAAATGATGAACAGGAAAAATAAGAATGGATTTCACACTAGTGAGAGTACAGGTAGCGAACAGTTAAGACTTTTTTCTTACTAAGCCAAGTTAGTACCATATACACGCGAATGCTGGGTTGGATTATGGCAATATTAACAACTTCCACCTTAAATGACATAGGAAATACCTTGTTTTACTTGAACAACATTGCTGCTTTTATGTATTTTATTTAAAAGTTAGAAAATGGTAACTATTTCAAAAGTATTTTTATTCTAAATTAGTCATATATGTTGTATTTTCAAAAGCATAGATGTCCCATTGCTTCTACCAATCATCTAAGCTTATGCAGCGTGGGCAGCCAGAAATGTACCGAGAGAGGAGGATGGCCATTTTAGGTTTATATAAAAGCCGCTGCAACATAAACTCCAAAGCCCCTCCTTTTTTCTTTTTTTAAACTAATAAAAGACAGCTGCAGGTTTGCTGGGCATGGAGGAAGAATAAATGAAGGAGGGGAGGAATCTGAGGCAAGGCTGGGGCAGAGAGGAGTCTCTCTGCAGGGAGCATCAGGGGCTTCCAACCAGTGAGTTAGAGGGCAGTGTGATTTCTGGATGGGGGCAAGAGACAGGGGCTTTTCTCTCAGTGCAGCTTTTACCCGTGTGGTTTCAGGAGAGTGGAAAGTGGTACATGGGACTCATTAACCAATAACTTACCTGCAGGGTTTAGCTAAGGAGCAGCTGACTTGGTGGCAGTGGAGGATAGATTGGGGAAGCTGTTGCTCACTGAAATCACTGAATGCTTTGGGGTATATTCATCCTTCAGATGCCTCAACCCGGAAGGGTCAGCAGAAGACTGCTTCCAAACCCCACCTGCTAGTGCCAGGATCTCCCCTGATGGTCTCTCAGAGTAGGGAGAGGGAACAGGAAATGGCTCTGTAGTCACTGGAGGCAGCCAACCGCCATGTTGGGGGGAAGTTCTGTGAGGGCTTATAGACAGAAGTTTCACAGATCATAGAGTGTGATTGTGAAGCATGTTTACAGGTCATACATATACAAACATAGATTTACTTTTTGAATTTTAGAAACATGTTTTAAATATTTAAACGTATCCAGGATTTCCACCTCATTTTGTTAATGTGAACCTCTTCTCTCTCCACGATCAGCTAAAAATATGAGTAAGTTCACAGAAAGAGCAACTCCAAGGACTTCTCACCCTCACAGTTTGCAGTGTGATGGAGAGCCACAGAGTCGGGGTGTCATGTGATCTAACCCTCTCCCTCTGCACTCGGTGTGGTCATGACCATCACTTTGCTGTGCCTTTGGGCATGTGGGCTACTAACGCTCCCCTGTCATTTTGTGTCTCAGTGAGAAGTAGCTTTAATGCCACTGGAGTGGTAGGAGGACTGAATATTGCAGTCCTCCCCTGGGGGCCAGTAGCTTTGTTTAGACCATGTGTCTTTATCATTGTGATAGAATCATTCATTTTGGGGGAACAGTACCAGCTATTTTTTTTTTTTTTTTTAAGATTTTATTTATTTACTTGACAGAGAGGGAGGTAGAGAGAGCACAAGCAGGGGGGAGCAGCCAAGGGAGAGGGAGAAGCAGATTCCCTGCTTAGAAGGGAGCCCAACATGGGGCTCCATCCCAGGACCTGGGATCATGACCTGAGCTGAAGGCAGACACTTAACTGACTGAGCCACCAAGGTGCCCCTGTATTTGTCCTTTTGCTTTCCATTTTCATAGGCCGGTCTTTGAGACTGAACTGGAACAACCTTAGCTGATACTATATTCCCAAGTTAAAATATTATAGCGTGGAAGCACATTTTTAGTGTCATGGCAACTGGGGGCAACCTATTGGCTTCACTTACATACAGATGTAAAATATATATGTATTATAGACATAGCACATATATAAAGTACATTTCTATCTGTCTACACATGACTGGATACGTTGTATTTATGAGAATGCAACTAAAATTTTCACGGGTTTAGCTTTATGTTATAAAGAATTTGCAGAATTGTGACTTCAAACAAGTTATATTTTGATAATGCCATGATTCTTCTAAAAAATCACTGAACTGCATGCTTATAGAACGTAGAAATATTGAACCAACTTTGCAATGAAAAACTATTAATGAGTGGACACAGATTCTAACATGTTTATTTTGCTCTTGTTTTTAAAAGATGCAACAACATTTTGAATTTGAATACCAGACCAAAGTGGATGGTGAGATAATCCTTCATCTATACGACAAAGGAGGAATTGAGCAAACAGTTTGTATGTTGGATGGGGTATTTGCATTTATTTTACTGGATACTGCCAATAAGAAAGTGTTCCTGGGCAGAGATACTTATGGAGTCAGGCCTTTGTTTAAAGCCATGACAGAAGATGGATTTTTGGCCGTGTGTTCAGAAGCTAAAGGTAATGATAGAATTTTTCTTTAGGTTTTCATTATTGCTCTGGTTTTGTGTTGTCCTCTAGATCATATTTGCAAATCCCATGGTGGGCAATCCAAAAGTTTTCAAGTGACTGTTTCTCAGTGCTTTTAGAATAATGTCTCTAAAACTAATCTGTTCATGGGATTTCCTGGTTAAAACTTTTTTTAATTACTCCTCATCCCCCATAGGGGTTGTATGGCTCTGTTGAGGTCTGCTACCTCAGTGATCCATTTATGATGGGATCTGGGTCCAATCTGGTCTTTGAATTCAGTATGACAGATTACCAGGCTGACAAACTCAAATTGTAAATCATAATGAGCATTTAGATAGGCTGTTCCTATTTACAGTGTAACACTGATTTTGAATCAAAGATCATGGTGGCGTCAGGTTGGTTACTCTCTGTGAAAACCTATTGAGGAGATTTCGATTATACTATTAACACACAGTATATAATAACTAGTTAAGGGGTAGATGCCTGACTTCTTAATGTCCGACTTTAAAGTACCTCATAGTGGATCATTTTGCTTGTCAAAGGTCCAGGAACCATGGCTGTTTTCTTAAAATACCTCAGTCAAAGAAATGACTGCCAGGATATAGTAAAATGAATAATTTCAAGTCCATCTCCTTGCTTAATGTATCGTTTCTTTTTATATTTAATTTATTATAGAAAATAGATTTTCTTGATCTGAAATTTCAGCTAGGGAGAAGAAATTGAACATTGGAGATTTTCCTATTGCTTTGAACTACTAGAAATCAGTGTAGTCTTGCTATATATCTCTGTACCACTGTGACCTCTCTAGTAAGTAGATAATAGCATTGGGGTTAATTTTCCCTATTTTGCTGATATAATGGACATGTGTTTATATTAAAAAGGGAAAATAAACAGGAATTTAGAGGATGGTAAGTTAATTGTGAAAGTGTGAATTGTATCTTGAGTTAAATTATCTTTTCCAATTTGTAGGTCTTGTTAACCTGAAGCACTCCACGACTCCTTTTTTAAAAGTGGAGCCATTTCTCCCGGGACACTATGAAGTTTTGGATTTAAAGCCAAATGGCAAAGTGGCCTCCGTGGAAATGGTTAAATATCATCACTGTAGAGATGAGCCTCTGCATGCCCTCTACGACAATGTGGAGAAACTCTTCCCAGGTACTAGAGCAAACGCCCACCCACCTATTCCCCACCCTTCTCCCCCAGAGGAAAAAAGAAATGATACTTTTCATGTCACTGGAATGGTTCAGGTCTGAAGAGCTATTTCCTGTTTAATTGGGAGGTGGCGCATTGGGATTTGGCAAAGTCCACGGTTGAGCACATATCATGATAGATAGAGATGATTGTGTACCTCGTTTCAGTAAATAATTCAGCCCAAGGTTTTCTGGAACTGTTTACTTTATGTGTTTATAGGTTTTGAGATAGAAACTGTGAAGAACAACCTCCGGATCCTTTTTGATAATGCCATTAAGAAACGCTTGATGACAGACAGAAGGATTGGCTGCCTTTTATCAGGTGAAGGCTGTTAAAAAGCCTGATTATATTTAATGCATATTTAAGCAAATGATTTGTAGCTATCCCTGAGGTTTTGACTATAAAATATTTATGATTTAATCTTTCTCTCCATTAGAGGATGAAAATGTTTTCTGTAAGCTGTATTCAATATTCAGTAATATAGCAGTGTCTGGTTACATTGTAATTGGGATGAATGAGTTAATAAACATTCTTTAGAATAGTGTCTAGTGATTTTTTTTTTTTTAGCCAATTCAAATACTGCAACCATTATCTTGGTTTATCTATGCTAGATTTTTTCTTTGATTAAAGTTGATTTTCAATTTATAAAACTTGGGGATTTTAAATGGTAAAACTAATCTTGGAGCTCAACAGGATTGTAAATCCTACCTGTTCCTCTCTATATAAGGCGCATAACCAGTATACTTCTGGTCTTGCTCACAGGGGGCTTAGATTCCAGTTTGGTTGCTGCCACCCTGTTAAAGCAGCTAAAAGAGGCCCATGTTCAGTACCCTCTCCAGACGTTTGCAATTGGCATGGAAGACAGTACTGATTTACTAGCTGCTAGAAAGGTAAGACACTATCTCAGTCCATTATGTAATTAAGACAGACGTATTAGAATAAAAATCAAGCCAATAATTAATGATTCTATGCTTATGTTCCTGTGTTGACACAAGTAATTATTTTAAATTAAATATATTAAAATGGAATGAAATGCCTGTTGAGTATCAACTGTGTTGTACGCTGTCCTCTGGATACTTCTACCAAGGTCCGTGCAGTCCTCATAAAAACCCTAGGATAATAATTCTTTTTGAATGTAAGGACATGGTATAGTGGTTACGACTGCACGCTTGGAGCCTGACTGCTGTTTTCAAATCCTACCTCCACCATGTAATTCTTCATTTATGTAAGGGGAGTAACAGTAATAGTAGTAATAGTAATGGGATAGTTTTGTGGTGAAAATGATATAATTCATATAAAGTGCATAGGCTAGGGCGCCTGGGTGGCTCAGTCGTTAAACGTCTGCCTTCGGCTCGGGTCATGATCCCAGAGTCCTGGGATCGAGCCCCGCATCGGGCTCCCTGCTCCGCGGGAAGCCTGCTTCTCCCTCTCCCACTCCCCCTGCTTGTGTCCCTGCTCTCGCTCTCTCTCTCTCTGTCAAATAAATAAATAAAATCTTAAAAAAAAAAAAATAATAAAGTGCATAGGCTAGAACACAGCATGTAGTAAGTACCTTGTAAACGTTAGCTGTTATTTTTTACAAAGCACCGTGTGTTAGGATTATGGGCAGAGGGGACCTTGTACATATATATTCAGTGTTCAGGAGACCTTGTTCCTACTCTGGAAGAACTTAGTAGAAGGAAGGAGAAAAAGCTAGAATGCAGTTTCAAAGCAAGCTGATCAATGCTGAAAGAATCCAAAATAGCCAAAGAATAAAGGGGGGGAGCCGACATTTCCTTTAGGAATAATATCCTGAATGTCACGTAAAGCATTACTGGAGGGCCAGTAGGGGACTAAGGTTAGAGTGGGGCCCTGTTGGACTAGAGAGAGAGGAGGTGGGTAACTTAGGGGTGTAGGGGGCACACTAACTGGGAGCCTCTGAACAGTCAGGTTGAAGTCTTGGAGTAGGAAGAGCTGTTGGGCTGTCTACCTCTTAGTTGAGTCCTGGCAGAGACTGGGGGAGGCCAGGAAACCTGACTGCGGGGCTGTGTGTGTGGTGACCTGGAGAATCACTTCCTCTTATTCTGCCTGGTTTGTTTTTCACTGTTGTTAACTACTGTCATGTTTCCTTCTCAAAGGCAATTCTTTTCTTTAAATCACAAGTATGTGGATGTTTCTTAAATAATCAGGTGGCAAATCACATTGGGAGTGAACACCATGAAGTCCTCTTTAATTCTGAGGAAGGCATTCAAGTCCTGGATGAAGTCATATTTTCCTTGGAAACTTACGATATTACAACAGTTCGTGCTTCAGTAGGTAAGGTATTTTAGGATATCAGAAATATTTTTAATACTAAAAAAGTATAAGGGTTAAAAGATTATTTCAAACAACAGTTTCAAAAACAACACTTAGGAATAAATGCAAATAAGATTCCTAGGTCAGCAGTATTTTAAGACAAGACCATTTAAGAATTCCCCCAACCTATTTTGGAGGGAGAGGAATAAATACATAAGCTTCCACATTTATGGTATCATTACAGACGATCCTATACTTACCAGGGTTCCACCTAAATAATTTCCAACTTTACGATGGTGTGAAAGCAATATGCTTTCAGTAGAAACCGTACTTTGACTTTGGAATTTGGATCTTTTCCCGGGCTAGTGCCATGTGGAGGATACTCTCTCCTGAGGCTAGGTGGTGGTAGTGAGCCGCAGCTCCCAGGCAGCCAGGGGATCCCAAGGTTCAACAACCGAAACACTTAACAACCGCTCCGTACCCACACACCCATCCTGGTTTTCATTCTTAGGATAGTATCAACAAATTACATGAAATATTCAATATGCTATTACAGAGTAGGCTTTGTGTTAGGTGATTCTGCCCAACCGTAGGCTAATGTAAGAGTTCTGAGCATACCTAAGGTAGGCGAGGCTAAGCTATGACATTCAGTAGGTTAGGTGAATTAAATGCATTTTTTATGTTTTCAACTTAAGTGGGTTTATCAGGACGTAAGTCAAGGGAGATCTGTATTTCCATTTCTCCAAAGAGCAGATGCATATTTTCTGCACTTCTCCCTGCCCCACCAATTACTCTGCATATAGTTTCTTGGGCTATATAAGGAAATAGATCTGTGTTGTAACAATTTCTGTAAGGAATACTCATTTTACGTGTATTTTGGTAACTATTCCATCACAGGACTTATCAGTCAGTAACTGTTAGTGCCCAGCAAGCAATACTAGTTTTGTCCTGTGGATATATACCGAAATCAGAAGTACACTCCAAATCAGACTGAAACAGTGTTGTTGAGCCTCTAACATGCTACTGGCTTAGATAGGCCTCTCTCTTGAGAGACTCAGAGTCTGATAAGCCTCCATTGCAAAGTTTAGAGCATGAGAATATTATCACAGGGCTGATATTGCCCTCGAGGGAACAGAAATTGGTTCTTGGAGGGTAACAAAATCTTAGGTATTACAGTGGTCAGTGGTCCTCCAAAGGGCCACAGTATATCCACAGATACATAGTATATCTGGCAGTAATATTTCATGGAGAGGGCAATTGGGAAAAAATGTCTAAAAAGTTTCCCTAGGGTGGCGATCGTGAAAAAAATGGTAAAGAACCAATACTGGTTTACAGGGATGGGCAGCCACAACCAATGGATATCGTTTAAAAATTTACATAGTATTCTTAACCATATGTGAAATTTGGTGGATGGGGAGCGTTAGGAAAAAAAAATCTAAACTACCCAAACTCCCCACTCCTATTATTTTTGTAGAATGATACTGGTATGAAGGTTAGGAATTTTTTTTTTTTTTTTTTTTAAGATATTTGTCATTGTTCACTTTAACAGAGTTTTAAGGTGGACATTCTTGGTCTAAAAGCACTACAATTTTAAAATCTGTGTAGAAAATTCTGGCATGATTTTGGGCTATTCCATTGCAACAGTACAACTTGCTAGATTAGGTACATTAAAATGGCTTAGAGATAAAGGGTCATTATTTTGGAAACTACTTTATTTTTTATTTATTTATTTATTTATTTATTTATTTTTTAAAGATTTTATTTATTTTTATTTGAGAGACACAGCGAGAGAGGGAACACAAGCAGGGGGAGTGGGAGAGGGAGAAGCAGGCTCCCCGCAGAGCAGGGAGCCCGATGCGGGACTCGATCCCAGGACCCTGGGATCATGACCTGAGCCGAAGGCAGTCGCTTAACCAACTGAGCCACCCAGGCGCCCCATGGAAACTACTTTATTAATACAGAGTTCAATCTAAGTAAAACTCAGTAGCTTCCAAAAGCCAAACAAAAGGTAGAGAGTTATGTTGACATGAACCATTTCTGTCTCTTCCAAGGTATGTACTTAGTTTCCAAGTACATTCGGAAGAACACAGATAGCGTGGTGATCTTCTCCGGAGAAGGCTCAGATGAGCTGACGCAGGGTTACATATATTTTCACAAGGTAAGCATTCTGAAATGGAGGGACATTGGTGCTAGGCTAGGAAAAGTGAACTATTTGAGTACTTGCTGTCCTCTCTTGTCACTATAGCCCTAACGCTTGAGTGTCTTGTGATGTAGTTGAGGAAACCAGATCGTGTCTGCTCTGTATTCCTTTTGGGGGAGAAAGAAGTCTTCCTGGTGTCAGATAATCTGCATCCTTCAGAGCCAGTTGAGCATGAGAATCGCGCTTCTGATATTTCTTACTATCCTGTGGCAGCATGGTTATTGCCCACGGTGTCCATTTTATTGCCTGACGCTAACCATTGGGTGTGAAGGGAGGCCTGGTGTAGCACACAGGGACTCCCTTGGGTAGCTTTTTGTCTTACCCGCCCTTAGAGCGGGAATGTGGGAAAGACTGAGAAATAAAAACCGTTCTGTGTGCCCAAAGCAAAGCTGTTGTAATATTTGTAACTTCACCCGTTTGTTTGTAAAACAGGCTCCTTCTCCTGAAAAAGCTGAGGAGGAGAGTGAGAGGCTTCTGAAGGAACTCTACCTGTTCGATGTGCTCCGGGCAGATCGCACCACTGCTGCCCACGGGTAACCCATTAGTTTCAGAAGCAATCGTAAAGATAGCCTCAAAAATCATAAAGCTCAACGGCGGCTTATTTCTGTCGGTTTGTTATTTGTTGCAAAGTATGACTTTTTAGAGAAAACAAAGCTCGTCTCCTTCCAAGTGCTGCTGTGGCCCTGATGAGGGGACTGTCGGTTTAGACTGACTTTCTGTCTTTAAACACAGCGCCACTCTGCTGCCATCAGAATGGAGAGGGAAGGCAGATGCAGCTCTTTTTAAGACTTCTTAAGAGACGTAAAGATTATACAGCCCCACGAACCAAGTGTTGAGTGCCTGCCATCCCTGTTGGAGCCTGTGGTGACCATGGGTGGGCACGGGGCCATGAAGATCAAGAGTTTGGTTGGATTCTCTGAGACCACTTCTGGATGCCTGAAGTTGTCACTTTAGCTAGTCATGTTGGAGGATTCAAGACTCTTACTGTGCATGATAGACAACCGACATCAAATGTTTTAGTTGCTTCTACCAAATCAAACTTAGATTGGGAAATAATAGAAGATGGTGTGGGGAATGAACTGAATCCATGGTTATTATCCTATCCATTTGTCTTAACCAGAGTCACCAGGATTCAGGAAACATTGATGCGGCCTTTGATGAAACACTGTGGATCAGTGGTTTATATTGAATGTTGTATGTAAATTAGTCATTTAGTAGTCAACAATTTTGAATTCTTACGGTTTTTAATAAGACTTGAGAGATGGGCTCACCTGGAAAAGACTTTGAGGCAGAAAGGTATAGGAAAAGTATAGGAAAAGTACATTCTCAGTGATCAGGTCACTCATGATTCTTGCCTTTTTCTGCTTTTTGAGATGTGCATTTATTTGTTTGTAGAAGGGAAAGTAAAATTATTGGCAGGTTGTCTCACTCCCTAGATAATAAACATCCTGTTTTGAATGAGGATTTTTGCGTTCATGCAGTAGTGTAGGATAATCAGGAGGACTGCAAAGATGACTTTATCATCTTAACATTACTTAGAGGCTGGCTGAATTGCTAAGAAACTCTCAAGGAGAATCTAAATGGACAGGCACTAAATATCCATTTTGATTTAGATTTTCTTTTCCCCTTTAAGCCTTGAATTGAGAGTCCCCTTCCTGGATCATCGATTTTCTTCCTATTACTTGTCTCTGCCCCCAGATATGAGAATTCCCAAGGTAGGTGAATCAATTCAAGATAAAAAACTGTCCATTGATATTGAATATATTTGGAACTTTTACTGACGTTCCTTTGTTTTCACGTCAGAATGGGATAGAAAAACATCTCCTGAGAGAGACCTTTGAGGACTCCAACCTGATACCTAAAGACATTCTCTGGCGGCCAAAAGAAGCCTTCAGTGATGGAATAACCTCGGTTAAGAATTCCTGGTTTAGGATTTTACAGGAATATATTGAACATCAGGTATAATGTCATTAAAAATATTTTCTGGAATAGGACAATGTGTACATAGAGTTGTAATCGCTGTTCATTTTGTGTTTAGTTTAAATGTTTTGTGTGTTGGAGAAATTCTCGGTGAACAGTACTTTTATAGGAATTTCTTAAGATTTAAATAGCATGAAGGATTATGTAGTAGCATCTAGAATGGAGAGGGCAAGGGAGGAGACTTACCCATCATCACTGACCTTCATTTGCCACATTATTGCGTACCTGCTGGGGGCCAGACGTTATTAGGCATAAAAGAATAGAACACTCAGAGCCACCATCTAGTAGAGGTATTCACAAAAATGTTCCTTAAAAGTCACTGCAGCTGTGTATGTTATGGTATTTTAGCGTTTTCTATGTGAAAGGTGATTCAAAGGATCTCTTGGACAGTTTAGGGTCATGCCTTTCCATATCTTTGGCTGTCACCGTGAAACCACATTAAATGCAAGGGTTTCTAGGCCATTTAAAAAACCATTTTGCTTTTATGCTCTTCCAGGTTGATGACGCAATGATGGCAGTGGCGGCCCAAAAATTTCCCTTCAACACTCCTAAAACTAAAGAGGGCTATTACTACCGTCAAATCTTCGAACGCCACTACCCGGGCCGGGCCGACTGGCTGACCCATTACTGGATGCCGAGGTGGATCAACGCCACTGACCCTTCAGCCCGCACTCTGGCCCATTACAAGGCCGCTGCCAAAGCCTAGGGCTGTCTGCGCAAGTCAGTGCAAGGAAACGTTCCTCTTGCAGAGAGCAGGGCCTGGGGGCAGGAGGGGAGCGGTGAGCGTCAGCCACTCAGGCTCCCTGGGCCTGAGAAAAAATAAAAGTCTTAAATCAGAACCACTGCTGTGGTCGCTTGTGCTCACACAGCCCCTTCGTTAGAGGTAACTGGAAGCTGAGCGGCTTTCACTGTTCTCCCATAAGGTAGAGAGTGGGCCCAGGAAAGGGGGAAGCAGGGTGACGTTTTCAGGCAGTCACAGGTGCTGTCAGGCCGCTTTAGAAGCCTTGGGCCTCGTGCCAACGTGGCTCCCTGCCCGTCCTGGCCTCCTCTTCGTGTGGCCGCCTCCCAGCTTCCCTCTCGGTGCTTTCTGTATTCCCAGTAGCTGGCCAGGCCGCCTCCACCGGGCCGAGGCCCTCGCAGACGGCCAGGACAGCTCTATTTTACTAAATAGCAATTCTTACTTTCTTTTTGTCTGTGGAGCCAACACCTCTTCTGGAACTGTTGTTCTAGGTCAGAGGTCAGCGAGCTCTCAAGGGACAGTAGTAGTGCAGGCTTTGCAGCCCTCTGTTGGAACTGTTAGACTCTCTGGAGTGTAAAGCCATAGATAATATGCAAAGAAGCAGGGATGGCTATGTTCCAGTCAAAGTTGATCAAAGGCAGTGGGCTGGATTCGGCCTGTGGGCCCTAGTTTGTAGAGCCCTATTGTAGGGAAACAACTCCAACCAAGCACTTCTGATCAAAGGAAAATGCATTCTAAGTGAGAAAAGAGACAGTATAACAAGGAAACATTCAGTGAATAAGTAGAAGATTCTCATTTGAATGCTCATTTGTTGTTTAGGGACAGCATTTTGAAATACATTATAAAGATGGATTCCGTTTAGTAGGAACTTTTGAAGAGGAAGGTGCTGGTGTGCAGGTCAACGTAAGAATGCAGTCGGTTAAGTGTCTGCCTTCAGCTCAGTTCATGATTCCGGGGTCCTGGGATCGAGCCCCGCATTGGGCTCCTGGCTCAGTGGGGAGCCTGCTTCTCCCTCTGCCTGCCACTCCTGCTTGTGCAGGCGTGCTCTGTCCCTCAAATAAAATCTCTTAAAAAAAAAAAAAAATGCTTGATGGGAAGAGCTAGTAGGCCTGGAGTTGAGCTGGCAAGTTGGGAGATGGGGACTGTCTGAGGTGAGAGGCCCTCACTTAATAATCTTAAAATGTCTCTAGAAAGCTGAGGAAATGTCCCGAGTTAATATTGGATGACTCAATGATAATCCTGTATCTGTAGGTGCTCCAAGCGCTCAAACCTAGCGTGATTTGGCTCCCGGCAAACCTATCCATGGTAAAGCCGCACCCCACCAAGCTAAGGGACTCCAGGAGTGCATGGGAAACAAGGTAATAGCCGGCAGCCTACACGGCAGGATTCAGGGATGCCACAAACCACGAACTGCTAGGTCTTGAGCGTAGGAGTTTGGCCCTAGATTTTTTACTTTCGTGACCGAGAGCTGACATATACAGATACCACCTGAAAGCAGAGGTACTCCGTTCAGCCAGCTTCGGAGGCGTGACTTCAGCCCTGCAGGTTAACCCTAACTAAGCAACTCTCTGGATGTCAAACCACACACAAGCTCTACTGAAGGTTCTTGGCACATGGTATAAAGTCAGCCTCTTCTTTTGCAACTAAGAAACGGTAGCCCCTGGGGCATATGCATGGGACTCAACGATTAGGTACCGGCCAAGCCTGTTTGCCTGGCCCACCCTGGTATTGGTGACGCCGTGCTAAGGAGACCTGTAGTTTCTAGTCCGCACAGCACCGCTAGCAACAGATAATCCAGGCCCTCACCAGAAACTAAAAGATTTTTAGCTCCTACCGTCCTGCCGTTTCAGCCTCATGCCGGTACCCTAATGGATGGTGTACCCCTTCACAGGTTTGTTTCACCTTGCCTTCATACATAACAAAAACGGTACTCTGGAGTTTGGGACATGATAAATTCCACAGAAGAAGAAAAACCACCTAACTGCTACCACTGCTTCAAATAGTTTGAACATTTTCTTGCAGAGCTCTTGCTACAAAGGCACAGTTGTACATACGCAAGTGCAAGTACGTAGTCGTGGTTACATAGGCTTCAAGGTTTCTTCAACCCTTCACAAGGAAATGACAAAAGGGGACTCACCCTGAGCCTACCAGTGTCACACTGTTGCAGGAATATCTTGTTGAGGCCGTGGAGGTAGAGCGTGCTCCTTAATTCCTCTTGTCTTGGGGTTGCCGTAGTCTGGTCTGGCGTCTGAGATAACAGATCCTTGGCTTGGGTCCCCACGAGAGGGAAAAGCTGGCCACAGAAAGGTGGTTCCGTATGATTCTACCTGTACATTGGATCAGTCACTAACACAAAGCACATAGCTACCAACTGTTCTAAGTTCCTTGTGTTAACTCAGTGAGTTTACCCACACTCTGAGGAAGTATGGCAGATACGGTTTTCTAAAAACGGCCACAGCGGTATTTCTGGTCCCACAGACTCTTCCAGACCCTAGCTGCTACTCTGAGGAGGCAGTCTATTTCCCTTCTTGAGCCTGGGCAGGATTTCAAGATGGCCTTGACTAGCTGAATCCAGTAGAAGTGACGCTGTGACTTCTGATGCTGGGTCACAAAAGGTAGTTTAGCTTATGCTTTCTGCCTCTCAGTGCATGTTGTAAGGAAGCCCGGGCCACAGGACAGTCCTCGTGTAAGAGTTAAGGCTGACAGCTCCCACCAAGGTCTCTGTCGACAGCCAACATCAATCACCAGGTGTGTGAATAAACTTCTAGATGATTCCAGCACCTACTCTTGAGTCTTCAGCTGAGGCCCCAGTCATGGGATAAGCCATCCCTGCATGCTATGTCCAATTCCAGATTCATTATTCCTTGAGTGTAATAAATGGATGTGTGACACCATCCCCTTTTATGTGGTTTCTTACACAGGTTCAGTAACTGGAACAGATAAGCCCCAGTGTCCCTATTTTATACAGGTTAAATCAATCGCTCAGTCATTCAGCTAATTGCGAAGTAGTGGAGCTCCAAGTCACTTGACAGATTGGCTCCAGAGCCTTTGTGGTGTTCTCTGCTGACTATCCCTTCCCCTGTGAAACTACAGCCAGGGTCTCTGCTGTGAATTAGACTGAGGGAAAGGACCCCCTCTCAGCTTGAGAGCAAGGTTACCTGCCAGGAGACCACAGGGATGCTAAGCATTTTCTAAAATGGGATAGAGTAGATGATGAGAAGTTTCCAAATTTTCAGTGCATTACCACAAGTGAAGTTATTTCTTGCCTGAACTGTATGTTCATCCGGGTCTCTGGAGCTCTGCTCATCACTGAAGGGGCTATAATCACTCTGGGACCCAGGCTGAAGGAAGCATAATCCTGACACATGCTTCCATGACCAGCAAGGCAGGGGATGGAGCAAATGGTGAATCATGTACCGAAACTCAGAATTTCCACCCTGAAGTGACATACTACTTTTTCTTACATGTTCAGTGCCGAAGCAAGTCATGCGGCAGGTACATGTACCAGAAAGGAGAGCAGTACTAATGACTCCTCAAATCCACCCTTCAGTCACCACATATTCAGCTCCCTTTCTTTTCTACATCCACATATACTCAACCCCTTTTCAAGAGTGACAACCCCCCACATTCCACTTTGTCATGGCCATAAGCCCAGAGCTAAGATTCTGAGTGTTGTACCCATATGGGAGTCTGTTTCAGGTGGCACCTTTTCGTGAACTGAGAAGAAAAGTTATCTGTTCCCCACCTGTTCAATATATAATAGGGCAGGAGTAGAATAACAACAAAACACATACGCTTTTCAAAAAGGATAGAATGGGAGCCATACAGCAAACCCTAAGTGGTAGCAAATCTGACACCCTGCTCTCCAGATATTTTGAAGGCCCTCACCTTGGGTCTCCAGCAAAAAATTGCCCCTCAACCATCAGGCAGGGGTGAAAGAGCTGAGAAAATCAATGCCTGAGCATAAGGTGAGAAATGGGGAGCACTCTGAACGGGAAGGCTAATTGCCAGCAATAAAACTAATTTGACTCATGCCATCATAATTATGGTTACCCAGCATATTGATCACCCTTCCCGAGTCTGACCCATCCTGCTCTAAAAGCTACAATCTTCCCAAGAGCCCCATAAGGTATGTACTATTGAGCTCATCCACATTTTATGGACGAGTAAAGTGATACTCAGGTATTCTGTCATATATCCAAGTTCACATAACTAGTAAGTAATCCAAATGGGATATTTGACCCCAGGTCCCAGGGTTGTATTTAACCCCTACTCTGTGTTACCTTTCAAAAGATTATTGAATTATTTGCATGGAAAAATATAATTCCCGAAATTTTCTCTACTTCTGTATTTTTAATGGGATTGTATATCCCATTTTATGGGTAGTTCATAAGTTATTTAACACATCTAATTTAAGCATGAGAATTTTTTTAATTTTAAAAGTGTTTAATGAACACACATAAGCACACATCACTTGTGTAATTGAGATCTTCTGTGATTGAGAGCTAATATGACTTAGATCTTATGTGAACTCTTACCTGATTTCAACCCTAGCTAGCCAGTAAAAGGATGCCAAGGAATTAGTTCATAGTCCTTTGTGCAACTTGGAGAATTTTTAATGATGCTAGAAAAAAAAAACTATACTCAAATTGTTGGTATATTTTAGAGAAAAAACTATACTCAAATTGTTGGTATATTTTAGAAACTGGTGGTTGCGGTAGAAAATACTTGATTTCTGAGGACTAATATAATACATAAAACCACAAGGTGGCAGCCACAACACACTGATTTTTCTCTCCAGGCAATTTTTAATGCATTTCTCCAACTTAGTGGTGGGGACAAATTATTTTATGCCAAGTTGGAGAGATAACATGCTGATTTCATAGAATAAATCCCAGCATGGAAGCTCAACAGTTTGTTATAATTAGTGAGCAGTTTTAACTTGTTAACAGCATATGACTGTTGTATAGGCCAGTATGAACTTATATATTTTTCTGAACCTTTCATGTTCCTCCTTTGATCCACCTTGTAAAAAGTATGTCCTTAAAAGGAAAAATCTTTTATACTCTCAAAGGTAAGAAGGAATGTGGACAACC